TTCAGAAGGAAGTCAACCTTCAGACTTTGCCCTCTATCCATGCTTAGGAATGATTTCTTCGGAATCTGGACTGTGTGAGTTCTGGCTTTTACACATCCTCCTCTCTCTTCAGCGAGATAAGCCTGGCTACAGTTCGCTTGTGACAATCATGCTTTACTTCACTGAATAGTTGAGGTTGGAAGGGACCATCTAGTCCACCCCTGCTGCTAAAGCCAGCTGCACAGGACAGTTATCCAGGCAGCTTTTGAGCATCTCCAAGGATAGAGACTCCACAACTTCCCTGGGCAACCTGTGCAAGTGCACAGCTGCCCTTGCAGTGGAAAAAGTGTTTCCTGATGTTCAGATGGAGCTGCTTGTTTCAGTTTGTGCCCACTGCCTCTGGTCCTGGCACTGGACACCACTGAGAAAAGCCTGGCTCCATCCTCTTTGCACACACCCTCCCCCTCTTCAGGTATTTATAGATATGGATATTTCCACCCTCCTGCCTCAAGCTGTCTCTTCTCTAGGCTGAACCATCCCAGCTCAGTGTTTCCTGATGTTCAGATGGAGCTGCTTGTTTCAGTTTGTGCCCACTGCCTCTGGTCCTGGCACTGGACACCACTGAGAAAAGCCTGGCTCCATCCTCTTTGCACACACCCTCCCCCTCTTCAGGTATTTATAGATATGGATATTTCCACCCTCCTGCCTCAAGCTGTCTCTTCTCTAGGCTGAACCATCCCAGCTCTGGCAGGCAGGTGCTCAGCCATCTCCAGGAAAGCAGGGCTCCATCATGCCTAACAGTGACTTGGGAAGGTGAATGCCATCTCTCTGAATGTCCCCCTTTTCCTCCTTCTTCTCCCAGCTTTATATGCTGAGCATGACACCATATGGTATGGGATATCCCTTTGGTCAGTTGGGGTCAGCCGTCCCGGCTGTGTTCCCTCCCAACTTCTCCTGCACCCCCACCCTGCTCACTGGTGGGGTGGTGTGAGAGGCAGAAAAGGCCTTGACTCTGTGTAAACCCTGCTCAGCAGTAACGAAAACATCCCTGTGTTAGCAACACTGTTCTCAGCACAGATCCAAAACACAGCCCCATACTGGCTACTCTGAAGAAAATTAACTCCATCCCAGTCAAAACAGCACACTCAGCCTTTCCTCACAGGAGGGATGCTCCAGTCCTTTAATCCCCTTAGTGGCCCTTCACTAGACTCTCTCCAGTATGCCCATGTCTCTCTTGTACTGGGGAGCCCAGAACTGGACACAGGACTCTAGGTATGACCTCACCAGTGCTGGGTACAGGAGAAGGATCACCTCCCTTGACCTGCTGGCAGCACTCCTAATGCAGCCCAGGATTTGGCTGGAAAAGGCTTCTTTGCCTTCTTCCATTTCAGAAACATCATGCCAGCACTTCTCTCGGCTCAAGTGGTGCGATAGTGATGTGTCTGGGTTTGTTCTGGTATATTAATATCTAATCTATATCTTATATAGATTAATATCTATATAGATAATTGTAATAGATTAATATTATTACAGATAACATAATAGGTATCTATATGTGTCTAATACTGCTTTTTGTGGCACGGTTAGCAGGAAGAGGAGTGGTAAGGGCAATGGGGGATCAAGGTGCTTCACTCCATGTTGCATGTCTTTTTGACCCCCCAGTTGTTTGGATAAATCACCCAGACAATACAACTAAGATATGACCAAATGAAAAATTCCCTCCTTGACACCACAGTTCACAACTGGCACCACGATTCTTTAACACAGCAGCTAAACACTTCTGAATAACGGTTTAATATATTTGAAAATACATTTGCACATTACAGGCGACCTTGGGAAATGCTTCACCTTTCACAAACCAGTGGCCAGTGTCTCTCACTGGGGAAGTGACACCAATTCTGTCAATACCTGCTATTTCTAAGGCACACGTCTGCAAACCACTTCAGAAACACCGCCATAGGATACATTTTATATTTCATTACCATTAAAGTTTCTTTTAGTGAAGAGAGAAATTGGCTGTGTAACCTGAGATTTCTCTAAAGCAATGCAAAGCTCTCAAACTCACTGTTTCACAAAGCTGTAAGAAGGGACATGGTGCTTTTTATTTTCATACAGGTATTTACCTTTTGATGAATTAAAAAGGTCACTTTGCCCCTAGACCAAAATGAAACACAAGTCTCAAAATTCAGAGCATTTTCTCACAGGAAAGGGTGCCCCAGGCATTGGGAGCCCATCAGTTACACAGCTCAGGTCCAGCTTTTGTGACAGGTCCGATGGCGCCACACTTCTAACAGGATCCGGCCTTAAACAGGGTACAGCACCTCTCACCTTCCCGCTCCACCTCAGCGACTCAGGCTGCAGCCCTGGTTGTGCAGGGCTGCCTGCAACGTTCACGCAGTGGAATAACCTGTGATTTCTAAAGTAAAGCACACTGTTCTACCCCACCAGGGAATGAGTGCCAGGATCATGGAGGGGGCACTGGATAAGGGAAAACAAGGGTGAACCTTAACTCACCTTTATACTCATTTGTTGAAACTAACCGAGTGTTGCATGGCTGGAGCCCAGGTAATGCTCCAGGTTTCTGACTGGTTCTTCTACAGCTTTCATCCAAGTGTTCAGATTACATTTTAATGTATGAGTGTATTTACTTTCTCTCTTACAAAATATAAATACAAAACTGCCTTCTAATATCATTTCTGCAATTTTGTAAGTCAGAATTATGTTCAGTATTATCAGACTTCCAAGAGAAACAGAGCAGATAAACCTGGAACTTTTGTGAAGTGAAATCACTTATAAAAGCCAAGTGAAGACACATGTATCCAACATCAATTCAAAGAGATGACATACAGCAACAGTTTCTCATTTGCACATACTGAACAGCAAAAAAGGTAAAAATGTATATATATACAAGATGCTTCCTAGGGAAACAAGCTTGAAACTCTTTTCTACTGCTCATGGATAAGACAACTTTCCCTTAAATTCATTAGTGTATCCCTCTCATTCACAAGAACTAAATCATTTTATCTTCCTGTTCTAAGGCAAAGTGAAAACAATCACATCCTCCTTCAAATCAAGAACAGTGTGAATTAATACAAATTCATCTGAGATCATTCTGAAATACAGGACAGGATCACTAACGATTAACAGCTAAGGTGCACAACCGTTTTGTCATTTTTAAAGAGAAACAGCATTTATACAGAACAAGTTTTGTAACAGAACAGTAAAAAAGTCTTCTGTAAAGAGAATTATTGAAAACCGTACAGCAGGAGACACTATGAGGACCTTAAACAGCTTTCTTTACTACTTTCTTCTATTCAATGTTGTCCTGTTCCCAGCTTTCTGTAAAAAACAACAAAAAAAGAGGGAGTGGAAGGAAAAACAAGCAGAAAAAAAAATTAATTATTAGAATTATTTCTTTTCCAACTCAGTTTATTTCATGCTTATGTCAGTTCCTCTCAAATCTCTTGACTGACTTCTAAGTAGCCCTATAGTAAACACTACAAGTAAACACAACATTTCATCTAGGTCAACCAGCATAAAGCAAAACCACAAAGCTCAATACAGTCTACATGTGTATCCAGCTCTGATTATTGGGTAGAATTAATCCTGAGATAAAAATAAATAACCCAACACTTCTATCCTTCTTTTATATCTGGAATTAGTTATTTAATCCTTTCTAGAGTAGTTCTGTTGCATACAACTAATATCCACTAGTGACATGTTCAAACAGCTTGACTGTTGTTAACTACTTAAAACCGTCACAAAAGTACATTCACCCAAGCACTGAAAAAGTCACAACTGGAGCGGTAAATGGAGAATTCCATTCATAAATTCCATTGAGGAAAGCAAGGTCAAACGTAAAGGGGCTGTCCCGTACTATGTGTTGGTCTCAAGAAACAGACCCATAAAAATGTCTGGAGGTGGGAAGGATCTGGGCAAGAGTAAAAAGGAGTATTTTGTCACTCTAGGACATGCATCAGTACTGTACCTCCATGCACCAGATCATGGAATCATTTAACATTTTGTTCTCCGCTCTCATTATTTGGGGATGTATTATCATCTTTAACATGTGGTACACGAGATGGGAAAACAAATAAATTAAAAATCACAGAAGAAACCCAAGCTGCAGCTAAGGACTATACTGCAATTTCTTGCATCCCATGGCAGTATTTTAATCATGAGACCATCAGGCAGAAACGCATCATTCACATGCAGCCTTAATCCTCTGTTTGGCACAGCTGCTTAGTGACTGCACCATGTGAGGGGAACAAAATCAAGGGAAAAGTTGGGTCCTGCTTACAGAAGCGCTCAGAAATACCAAAAAGCATGAATGTACACGTGTTTCAGAGTAACGCACCAGCCCCAGCTGAAGGATCTGTGCAGGGAACATAAAGTAAGACTAAGATCCAAGTCCAGATCCTGCAGAGGTCAGGTGGCTCACAGGAAATAGGATCTCCAAACCGAAAGGAAATCTATGACTACCAGGTTCACTGGTGAAAAGCAACCAACTCAACGACATCTTGGCAAAGCCTATGGCAAAGAATGTTATGATTTGATAAAACTTGTTTGTATATCTATCGCTCTGAAGATTAACTCCAAGTATTTGTATGGGGATGTCTTTGCTGTATCGAAGCATTAAATGCAATTAGAGGTGAATATTAATGCAAAATAAAGTCATGTCAACATGGTGTACTCAAAGTGACCTAAACTTGCAAACTGAAGTAACAAAAAAAGAAAACATTTTAAAATGTATTTTCATTGTACCTTCAAACACTAACACGGCTTGATGTTGTACAGCATCCTACCTATAAGCTGTAGCCAAAACACTTAGCAGACTTCAATAACTCAATTGCAGAGTAAAGCAGCAGAAGAGGAAAACAATTAAGCGCTGCAGGCAAGAAAGAAAACATAAGCTCTCAGATAGGACTTGAAACAAAAGGGAGAATAAAGATAACTGTCTCCTGTTTTTAAGTCTAGAAGAAATAAATGTCATAAAGCCATATCAAAACGATTCAGTTTACCTCAATAGCATCATCCATTTCTGTGACCTCATACAATCATTTCAGCTTGTTTCTGAATTAGGAAAGTCTTTCTCTGGAGAGCTGTCATCGCTGAGGTCACTGTAGCTGTCACTGGTAAAAGCAATACACAGTCAGAAGGATGGAAAACAAAAGTTTTATTTCAAACCCTTCAACCCAGATGATGCATATGACAAACACTTTCCTCAAATGTAGCCCATTTCCAGAAAACCACTTCTAACCACCTGGTCAGTTTTGGTATTTTAAAATGTCTTCCTCCACAGGAAGGGGCTTAACTTCTGGAGTCTAAGAACTGCTGAGAAAAAATACTCTACCATATAAACAGTATGCTCAGCTTCTTTTAGTTTGACTCCTGCACACTCATTCTGTAGCTTGCTGGTGATATGTACCAGTGACCACGATTAACAACATGGAGAGTAACAGGTATTCAGGGCAAGACTAAAAGGAACTTCTCCTTTACGATAAAGCAAATCATGGGTTTGACTAAAGAAAAAGTTAAGACAATTTTAACTTTACCCAGAATGCTTTAATTTATAATTAAATTCTTGCTCTTCCAGTCAGAACATAAATAATTTTCATTGCATCAAGCAATATCCTGACAGTTTTTTTCCTTAGGTTTTATCCCCTTCTGCTATTTCCTGAGAGAAGCAGACTGGTTTTCACAAAACAAACTGCCATGCAAGTGATCATTTTATAAGTGGCCAGGACGAGAAGACAGTGAAGGACACAAATCACCACAGCAACTGAGAGAAAGGAGTGCCCACAAACCGCATTCTCAGTCAGCTGCAAGGTCTACTGGGTCTCCAGATTCATCTTAACTCCATATGCACAACTTGCACCTCTTCAGGAGAGCCTCCAGCCTCAACCTCCCCCTATTACGCTTCACTTCTACAGGCTGTTATCCAGATACTTGAATTTCCCAAGATTGGAAGCCCGCAAAGGGAGCCCAGAGAACTGACAAGTACATTTGAGCAGCAGTAATTCTGGTCAGTTCAGTGATACTTCTGAGAGCAGGCTATGGTGAACATAGTACAGATGGGGATCTCAAACCAGTGCCACGCTTGGGTACCATCTCCACCCCAGCCACTGCATGCCTGTCCTGTCATATCACCACATACACCTTCATCTTCCAGCCAGCAGCGCCTCAGTCACGTCACGCTCCCCACCTACGGGCACGATCTCCCCGTGACATCATGCACATCGTCAGCCCTGGCTCACCTAGACAGCCTTACCAGCTGATCCGCAGTGACTGCCTGCTGTGCAGGGTTTCAAGGGGAATTGTGTGCATCGCAGCTGGAGATATTTGATCCACACTGTGATGTGGAACAGTGAACAAGCTGCACTCACTCACACTGGTGCTCGTTACTGAACACTGATTTGTAGCCTGATTTTCACCCTCTCTTCTTTGGGAGGGGGGGAACAACCCAAAGATTAAGTGAAAACACAGCCTTTTTAATAGAGTGGGACAAGAGGAGTGGCACCAACAGTCATCTCATTTAATGAGAGGTAATCTTTACCTCTGACTGCTAGGAAAGCCTCCCACAGTTACAGCAAATCACTGTACCAAATTCTGCACAAGACAGAGTAGATATTCTGACTGTTCTAACAATTATTAAGACCATGCCTGCAGCATTCTGCCCTTTCTTCACATGGCACTCACGCTGTTGATCTGGGTCTTCTAAAGAGTGTGTCGTACCAGGCTAGCGAGAAATGCTCAATTCGATCGTTTCACCAGCTGGCAAACAATTACACAGTTCAAGTGAGGAAAGCGTTGTTAACAGTACGACCAAGCATGCCAGATGCACACGGACAAACACAACATCACCGACGTTGTACTTACTTCCTTCTGAAAGTACCCATGGAAACATGGAATAAAAATTCAGCATTATTAAAACAGTTTTGCATTTTGACATCCCAGCACAGTAGCAAAGATTGTCCACAGAAAAAAACAGGGTAAAACTGTGATGGCAGAGAGCTGCATAAACTCATGACAGCCCTGGTTTAAGTCCAAAGTCTTTAGATAACTTTTTGGGTTTTTTTAATGAGCTCTGCTACCCAACGGGAGTCCCAAAAACACATGCCAGAGCTCCACATACAACACAGCAGGGGAGACAGATGCTTGAGTAAAAATGCTCAGGGACCAATGAGGGGAGTGAAGAACCGCCCAGCTTCATCTCTGGAAGACAGTTTCTCCTTTATGAAACTCTTTTTCACACTGAGGCCTCAAGTGAAAAAGCATACTCACATCGCCTTCAGCCAGTTTGCTCTCAATTTGTGTACAAATTAATTAGAAGTTGTCTTGGGCAGGAACCTGACACCCACTTCATCTTGTTTGCAATGATCCTCACAACAGTCGACTCCAACAAAAAGGATCTAATGAGCAGATCTAAGGCCATCACAGCAGTTCTATTCCAACCTATTTTTTTTCTTTCATGGGATCCGGAGTATAAAGATGTGGCTAACAAAAAACCAACAGAACTCAGAGTATGCATTTAGTCAGTCACTTCAGTCTTCAAGGTAAGAGTTTTGGTCTCTTTGATCCTTACACCTAATCTACCTGTAGTTAATGGAAATATATTTGCTGCAAAGTGAAATACCAATCAGTACTTGGCTGGTAAGTCACTGCAGTTAACTTCAGTGTGAAACATCTACTAGTACCTAGCTGGCATTTCACTTGCAGTGAACTGCAACATATTTCCTGACTGGAGCAAGGAATACATCTGCTGTTGAGTAATTACATTATGGAGTTTTGGTTTGCTTTAAAGTTCGCTCATCCTGAGATCCCCAACTTCTCAAGATGTAAGCAACAGAAAGAGCTTCCCCCTGCATGCATTCCATTATTACCAAATTCATGCCCGTTTCAGATCTCTCTGTTCTGCTGACAGAGGCATGTTCATATCTCTGCAATGCATCAGCAGTCTAAAGCACAGAAGGAGGCAAGATGAGAAGATTCCCTATCAGCATGGTATGGAAGACAGCTGATAGCTGGGGCCACACAGCATTTAGCTGGAATGCATCACCTCAGCAACCAATCTCAGCTGCAAAACCATTAGAATTAGGACTCAATATCAATTTTAAACATATATTTCTCAAACAGCCACTCAAAAGCACCAAATTGCCTGCTTTCAATGTTTTTTTTAAGAAACACAGGCAACTGTAAAATGGGTACTCCTCGAATATCCTGTTTGGTTTGGAAAATCCAGATCAACGTTCTGTAAAAACAAAACATTTGATAGTTTCAGAGGGGCGCTTTTTAATCCTTTTTTAATGTATAATTGACAAAATAGTTGTTTTCCAGAAATGCAAATAATTCAAACAAGTTACAGTAGTGCTATACCCTGCAAAGGCAAGAGCCAAGCTAAGTGCATTTCTTCCTCAATGAAAATTAAAGATAAATATAATTACATATAATACAGACTGTGGCTGTTAAAAAAAAAAAATTGTTACAGCTTTCAAGAACCCAGTGAAAAGAAATCTGTCATTATTTATTCCCTCCACAAAAAGCTGAATGATTAAAATTATTATAGTCATTAAAACATTACTTAAAATAAATGCATATTTGATTGTGCAATGGTTATAATTGCAGTCACACATTTTTATGATTATTGTGATCATTTATAATTTATTATGATCACCATCATTATATGATCCTACGCTTCTGTGAAACACCATTTCGTTACAGAATCCCTCAGCACATACCTAAGACTCCCCAGTTCCAACCTGCCAGGCATCTGCACTCACATAACTGGACCTAGGATAACATTTTTATTAGGACCCAGCATTATAAAACTCCCAACCAAGATGCCAGAACATATCTGGGTGTTAAAAAAACCCTCTCAGCTGAGCCTCATGCACGGCATTTAATTCATTCATGGGATTCAATTAATTCACTTTCAGACCTCTTCAGCTGAAATAGTTACCACCAGCTTCTTACAGTCAATGAAGAGAAACAGGCACTTGTATGCTTCTGACTCATTTAACCATGACAATGAGCTATTTGGCTCTTTTAAAGTGCATATTCACTTAGCAACTACAGAAAAAGACTTGGGGTGACTAGCTCAGAAGTTTCTTCCCTGTAAACATCCAACACTAAAACAACAAAGTAATTGCCATAACTAACCATGACTAAGTTCATCACTAAGTACCACTATGCTGAGAAGGGATTTCCTTTAAAACAACTTCTGCAGTTTTCTGCTAGAGTTCTGAGGGTAGCAACAGGTCTTAGCTGCCCTGACCATCTTTACCTGGGGCCTCTGCCACCAGGCCCAGGAGCCTTGGCCCCCAGTCCTTGCCTAAGCTGTGTCGCAGGCATGGCTGTACCCATCTCTGTAGTTCTGTGGTCACTTGCTGACTGGATTTCCTGGACTGACCTCAAACCGAACATTGCACTTCTGCACTGGACTGTCTGTAGGACACGGTGACTGTCACTGGAACCTGTCCGCTTGCTTTCTTTGGTGACTGTGGCACTGGTGATAAGGACACTACCCCTACTAGTACAGCTGCCACCCCTGGCTCCTGCATTGTCTTCTTTTGTGGAGCAACCACTCTCTTGACAGTCTTCAAGCCACAAGATTTCCTTCACTTTCCTCTGAAATGTCCGTATTTGAGCAATGGCAGAAATATGACATCATGCCAGATGTGTTAGTGGTTTGGGACAACGCAGAGGGGACATCAGAGGTAGCTCTGCCCATACTTCCTTGGTCCCTCATAGACCAGAACATGTCACACAGGCTGCTCCCTGTTCAGTTTACAGTTGCTTGCCCAAACCTCCCTACACAGCTGGTTTGGGAAACAGCTGGACCATGTTAGTGCAGGAAGCACCATACAGACAAGTCCGAGTTCTTTGTGCACCTCTCCAGTCCTCTAGCCACTTTGTTCCTTGTCTCTGAATGCAACTCATAAGTCTTCTTTTATTAATGACCTGCCCAGAACCTACATCATCCAGAGCAGATTACTCTGTGACTAGATGGCACTGGATCGGTGTCTTTCGTTAGCATATTCACTGATGACTTGCAAAAATTTCTTTTGGCAGCAGTCCTAGCTGCCCATACTTTCTCACCTAGGAACATTTCTCACTTCCTACATTTCCTCCCATCTACTGGACATCTATTTTTACATTATTTATCTTTAGCTTGTAAGTCTCTTCCTCCAAAGAAACACATAATTTCATTATTTTCAGCTCAGGTTTCCCCTGTATCTTTTTTATGTTATTTCTTTGTTCTGAACAGTGCTTCCTGCTCTTCTTTAAATTATATCTCTTGGAAATACCATTAATGCATTGTGGCCTACTCTTGCAGGCCATTAATAAAGACGCTGTTTGAGAAGAAAAAAGAAATAAAGCCTGCTGATGCTAAACTTGCAATGTTGTTTGGGTTTTTTTTTTCTCCCATAGCTTTATTGTGTGGCAGGGTTTTGCAATCTATATGATACTGTTCTCAAAGATAAGCCAGTTTTTATGACTTCTTCCAAGTGAAATTCTGTAAGACTCAGTCAAAGCCAACATTGCATCTGAAGTTCCCCTCTTCACCCACTAGTTTTCTACTAAAACCTTTTGGTTTCTCCTAAAAATCAGCGTATTTGTGGGTACTGTACACTTTCTGAGCATCTCCTGTGGTTTTAGTGCTCTCTTTCCTTTAAAATGAAACACAAACTGGGAGCCTCTCACCTGCCTCAGCTCCTTATAAAATGGTGACTTCTGTATTTCCATGGAAAGATTTGGAAAACATCATCATTTCAAAGTATTCACAAGGAAATGAAGCGCATGGCTTTGATGGTTAGGTACTCGTGCCATAAAGCACAAGAGGCTGAAACCACAAAGGCAACTCAGATGCCCAACTACCACTTCAGGTAACTCAGTTATAACTCACCACTGAGTTACTCCAATCCTCTGCTCAGTTCCTGACTGTCTCTGCACACACCAAAGCTCCTGGGAACCAAGTTTACCCCAGAGGACGAATTCCAGTCTCAAATGAGGCATGCGCATGCCAATGTGTAAGCATTTTCAGACTGTCTACCAGACTAGGCCTCACAAAAATTTAAGAGAAGGTTTATTCACTTTTATTTATTTAGGGCACTCTCCTGGAAGGTGTGATGCATCTTTAAATACACTGTTTGCTTAGAAGCTAGGGCTTCTGTCCAGCTGTCAGATGTTCTAAAATTGTGTCCTAATTATGGGGCTGTTAAATGATCTGGGGTAATGATTTCCTGTTAAGAATCTCATGCTGAAATATGCATTTCCTTTTGTCTCAGGACTTCATCATTAACTCTCTTTTTAGTGTTTTTAATAGCCTAGTTTAGGTAATCTGCTCAAGTTGCTGGCCTCCACAAATTCTCTTTCAGGGTAAATCTTCGCTCTAGTCACCAGCATGACTACAATTCACGTAGGCAGTGCTGGATGAGGTGTGCAGAAAACCCTCTCCTCAGATTTGTTTCAGACACGTTGTGACATGCCTTAGCTTTACTGCTCAATGAAATCACTAACGTTCTGGGGTTTAAAGGTTTAAATTGGAAATCCTTTCCACTCAGCAGGTGGCTATGTTAATATGAGTGGGTATGCTGTAATTAGCACTGAAATTTCTCCCTGAGCCTTCTTCCCTGCAAAATGCTCCTCTTTTAGCCTCAAAATGTTTTTCTATTCCAGTGCTCTCACAAGACAGAGGGGTTCGCTTGACTGCTGTGCAACTAGGTAAATGGTAGCATTTGTATTTTCATAAATAGTTTGGGGTATGATTTTTTTTTGTCTTTGCTAAATATTTACGTGTTGGTTGGAGTTTGTTGTATGAACATGAAGAAAAAGGGTTGGGCATCCTTTTTTATAGATTACATATTAATTCAAGTAAGTGTAAGTGCGGCACATTCAGTTAACTGGTTAAACTTAAATTCAAGGTTAGAAAATATATTTGCTATATTGCTAAGAAATGTAAATTTAAATTAACAGGGCACATGCAGATCACTCATCTGAAGACAGCAATTTTTTTCTTTGTCTCAGAGAGATGAATAGGTATACTTATGGGAGGAAGCAGTAAAAGAAAGGATATTGGGATCTGGGAAATAAGATGAACTGTGAGGCAGAAATTGTCCACAGGAGGAAAAGCCTGAAAATCATTTGGCTTGAAGACTACCCTCTGGCCAAGCACCACAAAAATGTGACCTATGTAATGCACAGGCACAGATTTTAAAAAGTAGATAATGTTATGACCGCTAATAACGATGACAGGGTAAGGTAATAGGAGTATTTCAATCAAGCTGCAGTTTACAGATCAGAAAGAAATTGTCTCCATATGAACACATCATTGCACAAATGGCGAGGGAGAGCAAAGATGAAGTGCATCTGTGATAGGCAACTGATACCATAAGGAGCAGGGTACCAAAACAGACTGACCTGGCCTGGCTTGGCTATTTTCCATTACTACTGAAATCTGAGTAACATTTCTACTACTCACTTAAGAAAAGGCCCTCATTTTAAGAACAGAAAGCAACAGTCAACAATAAAAAAATATCAAAACCTAGTAAGTTTGGTGTCCTGTTTAGAGGAAACACCTGTAAGCCAGGGTTGGACCTGTTCTGTGTTATTATTCAGTCATTCTGTGATTTTTTTTTTTTTATTTTTGTTATTGTACCTTAGGCTTTCCTCTGACCTCTTTATTATTGTTAATGTAATGAAGCCTTCCAGTACCTGAAGGAGCCTGCAAGGAAGTTGGGAGGGGACTGTTCACCAGGGCCTGTAGTGACAGGACAAGGGGTAACAGGTTTAAATTGAAAGTGGGGAGGTTTAGATTACATATCAGGAAGAAGTTCTTCCCAGAGAGGGTGGTGAGGCACTGGAACAGGTTTCCCAGAGAAGCTATGGATGCCCCATCCCTGAAAGTGTTCAAGGCCAGGCTGGACGAGGTTTTGAGCAACTTGCCCTAGTGGCCAATGGCAGGGGGGTTGGAACTAGATGATCTTTAAGGTCCCTTCCAACCCAAACCATTCTGTGATTCTATAAAACCGTAACTGTTATTAATATAATTCAAATAAAAAAGAATGAGTAAACACCAGTTGAAAACTATAGCTACATTCAACAAGCCAAAAACTCTGTGTCCAAGGCAAGGGGGACAAAGGATTTCAGCTTGGCTGAACCATAAAATTTTGATCTAGATCCAAATCCTTCCATAAGTCTAAAGCTATGCCAACTGTTTTGTTTCAGGCCTGTCTCTGCTGAGTTGTATTAATTATTTAGCTACTGCAAAATAAAATCAGCGCTTTTTTTTTTTGTTGTTGTTACTATCTTCATCCATATACAACTAGGTAAGAATTCAATTTCATTGCTTGATTCTCTAG